CAAACTGACCAAATAATAATCTAGAGGCTCCTTTTCAGTTTATTTCTAAGTATGAAAGACTTCTGAAAAACAACAAGTTATCCAAAAATCTACATTCACTTTTCTTTAAAATTATATACATAACGTAATATGATAGGGCTTCTGCCACAAAAAAAAATGTTTCAAATCTGAATAACTTTGTTTTTGTTAGTTGGATAATTTTTGCATAACACAGTCCAATTTAATCTCCAAATGGGATCACAAGACGAGATTGGATAAAGGCCTATATATGAAAAAAACACGTAATATTTAATGGTTTACATAAATCAGAAATGTTTACCTGGATCCTTATAATATATGTTCATCTTCGACATGGTCAGTAGAGCGAAACAGGAAAGAGTGGCAAAACAATATGCTGCAGAATTGTTTGGTAGAGTCGTTTTCACTAAGTAAAGAATAATGAAGAATAAATGAGGAAAGAGTGACAAAGCATATTATTTAACCTACAGAACAGTATAGCAGAGACGGCAAGCGTCACCCTAGAAGAAAATTTATTGACTAAGTTAAAATTATCGATATATTAAAGGTGGGCCAAATTAAGAGTACCCTTAACCGACGAACATATAATATGCGTATATATTAGATGGATGTGAAGGAAACGAGAGAGTTGAGTCAGAATCTTGTTAAATGGAAGTTCCTAGTCTCTGCCTACTTCTCTGGTAAGTTATTGTATGTATGATAAAGTTAATTGCAATGTTTTCAATTTTTATTTCGGAAATCTGCAAATACTGAAAGCATGTAGGTATTTGAGTTACGAATAAAGAAATAAAACATTCTTAAACGCCATAAAATCAGTTAGAAAACTAATTTGATTCAATGTGTAGTGTTGCCGTAATAAGAAACTATTATTTGAGTTAAAATGTAAAAAAATTACTCTTTTTTGTGGATTTGAAAAATATTTCATTAAACTAAGTTCAATAATATTATACAGTTCGAAAGCTATCGTATCCATTTTTAGAATTAAGATCTATGTCCATTATGTTATCTCATTCCACTGTGGTTTTACTAACTCTGTTATCGGACAGTAGATGCAGATTTCCCTAGTGCCCCCGCTTCATTATCTCGGCTTATCAATGTTTCTGTCTCTAAAATTGTGTTCTATGAAATAAATTGGCTTTAATATTAATAAATTGACTTTTACTGTCTATTATATTAAAAAAAAATGTAACCAGTTTCGCTCGTCCTGCCTTGCAATGCTGTTTTCGTTGGAATTCTTCACAGGTGTGTGCACATCTTATCGAAATTTCATCGTAACCTAATAAATGATGAGACCGTGTAGTGGAGAAGTAAGAATATCCACTACCCCATATCATCTCTTGGTGTCGTAACAGGCGACAAAAGAAAACTAACTTGGAGATAGGCAGTATCTTTCTAACAACTTACTAAAAATTATTAAAAAAACTGCGGTTGCACGCTCGCCTGTCAAAAGGGGCAACTGTGGTGAATATCCCTTCTATGCAGCAATCTTTGAGGTAGACCTATGTTCAGAAGTGGACATTTACGTAACGGTAACTGATAAATGGTATAGGAACGCTTTTTTTTTATAGAATAAGAGTGTCAAATGAGCACACAGTCCACCTGAATGTGAGTGGTTGCTGTGGCCCATATACATCTACATCTATATTCGTTTGCGAATCAAAATGCAGATGCATTGTCAGCCGTGAGAACTAAGATGAAATGCCTCTTTTCCAGTAAAAAGGGTCTCCGGTTCTCTACACTCAACATACGAAACACAGCAGCATTAAGCTGCTATTTTACGCTGGTATTCTGTGAGAGCGTGGACCTTCCCCGGTCGTGCCGACCCATTCGTGCCACAACTAAACTATTAATATAGCTGCAGCTTGGCTCTACCACGTATAAAAAATATGGGACAAACAAATATATTTATGTATTGAAAGTTAAGTTTCCTTTCAATTTATTCAATTGTTGCAAATTCTTATTGATTCGGTGCATTGAACGATTTCTAATGGGTCTGAATGATTTAACTTATTAATTAGTCAAAGATGTCAAAAATTAATTTGCTACCGCTATATTAATGTTCAGCCATCGCAGAGTCTACTTCACCTGAGGTGCTGGTGCTGGGAGTAGTGGTGTTGGGATTAGTGGTGAATGTACGCAATTGAGGGAGGACGGGAGGTTTTTTACTATGCGGATCTTAACAAATGAATTCTTGACATCTTTAATATAATGGATTTCCACAAAGTATCGCCTGATTCTATTTATTATCTTAATTAATGTCGACTTTGACACGGTCACGTAAACAATTATCATTGACGTCATCGTGTCGGCGTCGATTAACAATTTTGAATCTTTTAAATTCTCTTATATATTTCTAACTCTATTTATATTTGATGGAATTCTAGTTTCGGTACTCAGTACTTATAAAATAATAATAATAATATATCATAAACATTAAAGCTAACGCAATTCTTTTTAATCCTTGAAGTATTGCAAAGTTGAAACTATTATCTGGTCCTTCTCTCATTTCTGAAAGGGTTAATGGAGGGAGTAGTCTATTGTAAAAATGGTCGCTGGTATAACTACATTTTATCTTATATACGAGGGTGGATTGAAAAGTACTCGGCCTAACACAGATCCATTCAATTCTAAAAATCAAATCTACCCACATTATTTAGTTCAGTTCAGACTAGTTCATTGTGTGAAGTTCGAAACGTGTGCGATAATTAGTTGTGATTTTATAAATTTATTAACAAAGTAATCGGACATAATTTCCGCGAATGGAGCAAATCGAGCAGCGTGCCGTCATTAAGTACCTCCATAAGAAGGGGCTATCATCAAAAGCCATCCATGATGACATGGTCACTACATTAGGCGATTGTGCTCTGTCATATTCATCCGTCAAAAAATGGATAGCAGAATTTAAGCGTGGTAGAGAGAGTGTGAAAGATGAACCCCGCTCTGGAAGGCCTTCGACGTCAACTACTGACGAAAATATTAAAAAAGTACTTGATTTAATAATGGGAGACCGCAGATTAAAAATTAGAGAGATAGCCGAGATTATAGGCATCTCTTATGAACGAACTCAAAACATCATTGTCAACGAGTTGGGTTTCCACAAGGTGTCTGCGAGGTGGGTTCCGCGACTGCTTTCAGTTGAACAAAAAAGGACGCGATTGACTATTTCACGCGACTGTTTGGAGTTATTTGAAGCCGATGCAGATGATTTTTTGAATCGTTTTGTTACTATGGACGAAACATGGGTTCATTACTGTACACCGGAAACAAAACAACAATCAAAACAGTAGAGAAGACCTGGTTCACCACCCCCTAAAAAGGCTAAGTCGATTTTGTCGGCAAATAAGGTGATGGCTTCAGTATTCTGGGACTCGAAAGGTGTGATTATGATTGATTATCTTGAAAGGGGTCAGAATATAAACTCTGATTACTACTGCACCTTACTACGTCGTTTACGAGAGGAAATAAAAGAAAAACGTCGAGGAATGCTCAGAAGAAAAGTCCTGTTTCATCAAGATAACGCCCGTGTTCACACGTCAGTACAGTCAATGGCTGAAATTCACAACTGTGGCTTTGAACTGTTACCGCATTCGCCGTATTCACCTGATCTGGCACCATCAGACTTCTTTCTGTTCCCTTACCTAAAAAAGCACTTGGGAGGTCAAAGATTTTCGACAAACGACGAGGTCAAAGCAGCTGTAGACGCATATTTTGACTCTAAGGAAGAATCATTTTTTTTCAACGGTATAAATGCTTGGAAGGGGAGGTGGCAAAAGTGTATTGAACTTGATGGTGATTATGTAGAAAAATAAAAATATAACTGATTTAGTATTTGTTTATTTTCTTGGTAAGGCCGAGTACTTTTCAATCCACCCTCGTATAATAAAAATCAATTGCCGTAAGCTTGTCTCGCAAAAACTCAAAAATGGCTAGACCTATTTTGATGAATTTTTTTATGTTTTTGAGTGGGTCCCTCGATAGTTTAGATTCACGAGGACCTGGAAGGTGGCTCTGTCGTCGGGATCCAGAAATCCCCCGTGCGTAGCCGGGGAGGATGGCAAGACAAGAATTTTTCTTTACAATCTATAAGAGGCCATTGGATCCTTCTGGCATAGCCCAAATATGACTCTTAAGCCACCCAAGAGATACGATGCTGCTATAGCGGAAATCAAGATGTGAAACGTCATAATATTATAAAATTCAATTTCTTAAATATTACAATTATTGCTTTTTAGTATCGGTCTGGGTGATCAAACAAAGACTTAGTGTGTTTTAAAATTATTATGTTAAACTTTAAAATAAAGTAAAACAGAATTCAAAAAGTAAAAATAAGCTAACTTCCACTTAATTTCATTTTAGTATCTGAAGTTTAATTGTTCCATATACTTACATCGATTTAAGAAGCTATTATGTGAAAATTATTTTTAATTTCCAGTATTTTCTTTTTTGTTAAAGTTTAAATTATTTGACCCTTTTGAGTGTACTAAGCAATATTACAAGCTAATAACAACTTGAATGTGGTCTAAATAATAGTGTTATAAGTTTCATCCCATTTTTCCCACTTATAGGGGTGGAACTTTTCTTTCTCACAGAATACCAGCGTAAAATATCACCTTAATACTGCTGTGTTTCGTATGGTGAGTGTAGAGAACCGGAGCCCCTTTTTATTGGAAACGTGGCATTCCATTATAGTTGTCAGGGGTGATAACGCTAAAATTGCAGATAATTTGTGTCTTAATCGAGGGTAAATATATGGGTGAGGGTGCTCGTTTGTCATCCCCATTCTATATATAAAAAAGATGGAAACATCTTTGAGGTGTGGCCTATTAATAAAAAGAGTCATAAAATTAGCTCCCAATTAACGAAGATATCGATACATAAAACATAGGGTAGAACTAAAAACTTCTTCTTTTCTAGAAGTCGGTTGAATAAAAGTTTACATACTTGCATAACATTTTTTATTAATAAATATTTTTTTTTACATTTCATTCATTTTTCTTCACCGAATTTTTCGTCGCGCTTAGATCACCGAGATGAGCTCTGATCACTTTTATAACTTTCGACAGGAACCAAACCAGCAGTACTATCACCAGTAGGATATCCAAATTCAGCCTTTGCATTGTTGAAATGTCCACAGCGGGAGATCGGAGGAAGGCAGCACCGCGCGTGTCAGCTACTAGCTCGACCCAGTGTAGCAGTTCCTTCTGCGGTGAAACCAGACGCCGTCGGAACATTGTAGAGGCGTGCTTCGCGTTGATACTATAGCTGAAACGACATGGGTTTTTTTCGTATAATAGTTAACACAGTTGCACGACACTAATATCTAATAAAAATGTGTTGTACAATCTGCAAACACCAGGACAAGATAGTGACAGCAGTTTGTCGACTCCATATAGTAAATAATTCATTCATGGGGCAATGTAAACGCTATATCTGTAACAATAAAATCCTAGAAAATATACTAAGTCTCTTTATTACCAAGTTTAAATATTTCAATAAACAAAAACTGTATAAAAAGGATTTTTATAATATAAATGAATACATTGTTGATTATCAACCCTGGGAATGAGGTGGTCACTTCCATGTTTCTTAAATAAGTTTTGTAAGTAAAGTCCTGCTGGGATTCCTGTTGGTTCTTCCCAGGACGGAGGTTTTATCAATTTAGTGGTAAAAGCAAAAAATAACTTTCAATGGGAAATACTTGTAATTTGTATTGATTTAAAATTCTTCTATTATGTGGTATTCAGTTCATTTGATTTAAGTCGATGTTGTGACCCGTAGACACCTACAGGTATAATCTTTTTGTATATCCTCGCCGCGAGACCGAATCCCACCGGGCATAACTACTAGATTTGTATTTGTACAATAAATTAACATAACCTAGTAAATCCACATTAACTACGTGGTAGAGCCACGCTGCAGCTATATATATTATGGTTGCAGCACCAATGGATCGGCTCGACCGGGGTCTCACAGAATACCAGCGTAAAATAAAGGCTTAATGCTGCTGTGTTCGTATAGTGAGTGTAAAGAACAAAAAAAAAAGAACCGGAGATCCTTTTTAATGGAAATGAGGAATTGCATCTTATTTATCAGAGGTGGCAACACATCTACATTTTGATTCTGAATTGGCCTTTTTTAGTGGCGCGTCAACTGACCGAGAACGGGCAGTATCGTCAAGCGTGACGATTAACGTACACCCTCGCTAAAACGATGGAGGGCGTGTTCAGTAGCAGACTTTTACGGGCAAATGCAGAAGAAGAAGAATGAATGAATGAATGAATATATTTTTAGACTGCAAAATAAAAAGATTGAAGACAGAAAACATTTGAGAGGCTATTAAACAATTTCACGGTCTTATTAGGTTTTTTCTCACAAACACCAAATGCGTAAAGAAACAAAGCCACAAATACAAGGTCGGTGGAGCAATATACATATTTACTATGTTGAATATATTGTATGTATTATATTAAATATGTAGAAATCATTAAAATATACATACATACATTACGATATTTAAAACAAACTAAAAATTAAAACGTAAGTGATTCTATAGTCTGTTATTCCACGGTGTAAAAGAACACTGACTGCATTTCCTCGCTGAATGACTAATGCCTTTGAGCGGAAAAAGAACCAGTCTTTTTACCATCAGCAGCGACGACAAGACGTGTTTACAGTTCCTTTAGGAACTTCACCGAACGTGGACCGCACGGACCGATATTCTCTACAGCTAGTTTTTCTTTAATAATAGGTCGGGGAAAAAGTTACTTCGTATTTTATATACAACTTCAAAAATGTTTTTTTCAAAGCCTAATTACATTTAACTATAATATATATGTGTCATTTTGATCAATAACTTGTTGCCATCTTGTAGGTAGTGACATAATCCCGTTGCTGAAGAAATCTTAGGATTTTTGATCAAAAAACTGAGACAAGTAGTTTTGACAGTCCTCTCTTCATGTTAACCTAACACTACCCCAAGAATTTTGAAGAGATAGAAACAAGTGAAAATCTAAGGACGCAAGGTCAAGACTATACGGTGGATGCATAAACACTTCTCAACCAAGTTCTCGCAATTTTTGCTAAGTGGCCAAACATGTGTGTAGTCTGGCGTTATCTTGATGAAAAACCACTCCTTTTCTGTTGATCAAATTTCTTGCTTGAGTCTTATTAGTTGTTGGCAGTAGAGAACTGAATCGATTGTTTTGTCCGGCGGTAAAAGCTTATAATAAACGACGCCCTTCCAATCCCACCATACACACATCATCACCTTATTGCGTGTTAATCCGGGTTTCGCGACAGACTGTGGTGCTTGACTACCCTTTTATTATGATCTTTCTCATACGTTCTTGTCGTAGGTGATGCACTTTTTATCACCAATGATCAATCTTTTCAAAAAAGGTTCGGTTTCATTACGTTTAATAGGGAATTGAAAATGAGTAGGTACACGATTCATTACGTTTCTTTCAGTGAGCTCGTGTGGTACTCAAATATTGACAGTTATATTAACTGATTTGTGGTCATCCTCAATTTTTCAGCTATATCGTAGCTACTAATATGCCGATCGTGCTCAAAAATAGCATCGACTTTGTCCGTATGAGGGCCAGAACGAGCTGCATCTATGACATCAAAATTCCCGGAATGAAAACGCTTGAAGCAACTTTGTGCTACTCTTACTGACACTGCATTAGGTCGATAAACGTTACAAATTGAATTTCCATTGAAAATCGTTTTATCGCGGATTGAGTCGCATTTTTCCCTTTTTTGTAATAAAATTTCAGAATGTATCGAATTTCTTCGTTAGATTCACTCATTTTGGCGGACAGAAAAGTAAAGGTACTCTGTGCAGAAAAACAATTGAAAAATGGCGGAAAAGTGTTTTTTTACTTTTTACTTTATTTATTTTTTAATTTCCTATATGTATTGATATTAAAACCACATACAAACAGTACAACCAAAGAGATTTTTATTCAATTTTATACGTGTAAAATACGAAGAAACTTTTTTCCGACCTGATACGTGCATAAATATATACCATACATTTACACATCTATGTACAAATAAATAAAATTGAAGTGACTGTTTGTAATGTCAAAATAACAGATTTTTACTAAATGCATATGAAAATAAATACGTTACTTATAACTAAAATATAATTTTTAAAATTTTTGTCTGTCAGTATGTCTGTCTGTTTGTTCCGGCTAATCTCCGAAACGACAGGATCGATTTTGACAGGAATTTCACTGGCTGATAGCTGATTTCATAAGGAGTAACTTAGGCTACTTTTATTTTAGGAAAATAATTAGAGTACCGCGCAAAAACATAAAAACCCTAACACGCGAGCGAAGTCGCGGGGAACAGCTAGTATATAAATAGCCTAAGTTACTCCTTATGACATCAGCTATCTGCCAGTGAAAGTCCCATCAAAATCGGTCTAGCCGTTTCGGAGATTAGCCGGAACAAACAGACAGACAGACGGACGGACAGACAGACAGACGGACAGACAGACAGACATACAAACATTTTAAAAATTGTATTTTAGTTATAAGTTCCGTATTTACTTTCATATGCATTTAGTAAAAAGCTGTAATTTTGACATTACAAACAGACACTTCAAATTTATTTATTTGTATAGATAATGAAAAAGAAAACAAGAAGAACTCTCCCTACTTACCTTTGGTTACCTAGTATTTCGTTTACCGCTTCCCGAATTTTCGAAGGCAGTTCATTGTTGAAGTCAACCCTGATCCCACAGCCCCTGTGAGTAACAAGTTCCACGCAGACGAACTGATCTCCAAACATTGGAATCCCAATAATTGGCACACCGTGATGTGTTGCTTCCGTAACGGACATGAGACCTCCGTGCGAGATAAAGAGGACCGTGTTTGGGTGCTCTGTGAATGTTACGAATATATTGTTAATGACTAGCGACCCGCCCTGTACCGAGAACCGCGTAGTGGCGATGTAAGAATACGTATCTACTACCCCATATCATCCCGTGGGTGTCGTAAGAGGCGACAGAGGGAAACAAATCAGGAGATGGGCAGCACCTTCCAAATAACGACTAAAACTAGAATATTGCGATTGCCAAGCGTGGCATCTATGGCAAATATCCCACATATGAGGCAATCTATGGGCGAGGCCTATGTTTAGCATAGGACTTTAATCGATGAATGTATGGAAGATAATCTACCAGGAGCACATGACCCAGTGAGAGGTGAAATTTAGAAATTAATAGTAACATTACATCTATGGCAAATATCCCACCTATGAGGCAATCTATGGGCAAGGCCTATGTTTATCAGTGGACTTTAATAGGCTATAACGGACCCGCTCTGGCTTCACATTTGTAGGATCTGTTAATGTAGTGTTATTAAATTTAAGAAAACCTTCAAAGAAACTACTTTTTTTAATTCTCATATTAAAAAAATCTCCAAGCCTTTTGGATAAAATGTAGCCTAGATCACTCTTCGCATTGCTGACTCTATCAGTTTGTGAAGTTTCATTACAATCGGTTCAGCCATTTTGAAGATAAGCCCGGACAGACAGATATATAAAATTTAAAAAAATGGTTATTCATGTTTTTATGACACTTACATAAAAGATACTTTAAATAAAAGCCGTTATCATAATTATGCGAGGACTTCATCCGAAGAAATTAGAAGAATAATTCTAGTGTCGCACAACTACTCGCCAATCTTACACTATAATTGATATAATGTATGATTTCTTATTTTTTGAATTTAAAGTCGCATCTCGCAGTTCGCATTATTACATTGATATCTTCGAATTGCCAACGCAACGGTCGTAATTTCAAATTTTATTTAATTCATAGAAGTAAGCAGTTATTAAAATAAGTTAATACACGAGGTATCCTCTTTGTTATAATTTTTTTAATGATACATAACATCGTATAAATAGAATGGAAAACGAAAACAGACCCATTGGTAACTGAAGTAATATGTGTACTCTAAAAAAGACGCATAAAAATTATCATAACTATATTATCTATATATCAAATCATAGTATCAGCATTGATACGCGATAGAGCCACGCTGCAGCTATATTATGGTTGTAGTACGGTAGTACGAACGATTTAGATCGACCGGGGAACGTAAATTAGTAGATTAATGCTGCTGTGTTTCGTATGGTGAGTGTAGAGAACCGGAGACCCTTTTTATTGGAAACTAGGTATTCCATCGAAGTGCTCAGGTGTCCGCATTTTGATTCATAGTCGAGGATAAATGTAGATCTCAATGGGCCATAGTATTCCCTACAATAAAATACAAAGGCAGTTCATTATTCTTATGCCCATTTCACAATTAAGGATACATTAAATTTGGCTGGTGTAAGTAGCGACACGAAACTCTAGCCGTTATTGCGCATAAGTCGCGCTGATTGGCCCGTGCGTATCGTTCGCACGCGCTGATTGCCTCTTCAGTTGCATTCATACAATTCAATTCGCGCGCTTCCATCAATTTAATTCCTCCACGTTTCGTTCAGCGCTAGACTTACGTGCCGCGATTTGTAGGCTTTGATCAGTTATATAACGAGCTTCATTCCTCAAAATTAGAAGAATTGAAAAATGTGTTAGAGATAATTTCTTTGCATCCTGTTAATTAATATATATTATTTTATTATTATTAGGTTATATGTATATATATATATATATATTATGTAGCTATTGTATGTATTATTTTTATATATGGTATTATTTTATTTTTATTTACAGTAGTTTTAGTATTGTACGCACTAAGTTTGCCTTTTTAAATATATTTTCCTTTGTGGGTCTACTGGAAGATATTTCAGCAAATTATGGAATAAGTAGAACCTTTGTACAAACTCACTATAAGACTGTTTCTGTATCTTGTTGTGTACATTTTTTTATAGGAGAGGGGGCAAACGAGCATGCGGCTCACCTGATGGTAAGTGACTACCGCCGCCCATGAACAACTGCAACACCAGGGGAATCGCAGATGCGTTGCTGGCTTTTTGAAAAGGAGTAGGCTCTTTTCTTGAATGTCCCTAAGTCGTATCGGTCCGAAGAAAACTTCTTCTAAATCGCACAGCGGTGGACCGCCAATCATCCAGATGGTATGGATTGTATCGCGAGTTTTATCGCGATGTGCGATGGTGAAATTGGGCGGCTGGAATTAGTCCGAACAATTCCTCAGAGCACTCCCCGTGATAAAAGCGATAAAATACGCAGAGATGCAACATCTCTACTCAGTGCCAATGAGTCAAGCCGATCGGAAAGAACTCGGTCGTCGACGATTCGAACCGCTCTGCGCTGGTTGCGGTGTCAAGTGGAAGGAGCTGGCATTGGGGAGCCCCTGCCCAGAGATGGGAACAGTATTCCATGTGAGGCCGAAACTGCGCCTTGTAAAGTTGCAAGCGGTGTGCCGGCATGAAATACTGTCCCGCCCTGTTGAGCACGCCAAGCTTTTTAGAGGCCAATTTGGCCTTCTCTTCCAAGTGACCACGAAACTGCACGTCACTCGATATGTCGACACCAAGGATCCCGATACTGGTTGAGGCAACAAGGGGAGTACCTTGAAACTGAGGAGATACGACAAAGGGGTTCTTTTTAGCGGTAAACGCGCAAACTTGTGTCTTCTGGGGATTGAACTGGACTAGATTTAGTCGACCCTAGTCTGAGACTTTGTTTTTCAACAAAGTCTCGACAAGTTTGTTCCGATACTCGGCGACGTTTTCCCGAGAAATATTGGCACAGCCGGTGTATAAAGTGCATCACCTATGCTGTCGTCCGCATAGCAATGAATGTTACTGGTTTGCAACATACATTGATATGCAGAAGCAACAGCGTTGGTGATAGCACGCAGCCTTGTGGAACACCAGCGTTAATGAACTTGTAATCGGAACATGCACCGTCTACTACGACCTTCTTGACGCTCCGATCTGCAAGAAAACTGGTGATCCAATTGCACAATTTCTCGGGAAGCCCATAGGAAGGGAGCTTCGAAAGAAGCGCTTTGTGCCAAACCCGATCGAAGGTCTTCGCTATGTCCAAACTAACGGCCAACGCCTCCCCCTTGGACTCCATTGCCTCCGCCCATCTATGAGTTAGGTAACCTAAAAGATCACCAGCTGAGCGACCTCGACGGTAACCGTACTGGCGGTCACTAATCAGCTGGTGATCCTCAAGGTACCGCATGAGCTGGCTGTTAATAATGGTTTCCATTACTTTGGAGAACAAAGAGGTGATAGCAATAGGCCTGTAGTTGGACGGATCTGAGCTGTCGCCTTTTTTAGGGATCGGGTGCATCAAAGCTGTCTTCCATGAGTTCGGGACTACGCCAATGGAGTAGGAGTACCGGAAAAGACGCGTTAAAACCGGTGCCAACTCCGGAGCATACTTCTTCAGCACAATAGGTGGTACTCCATCAGGCCCACCCGACTTGTTGACGTCCAGGGAGAGGAGTGCTTTACGCACCGAGCGCTGTGTAAACAGCACTTCCTGCATTGAGCACTCACACCGCGGGATGGTCGACGGTGTGTTCCCCCCGTCATCTAGAGTCGAGTTGGAAGCAAAAAGAGAGCCTAGCAGATCGGCTTTCTCTTTTGTGTCATGGGCCAGTGAGTCGTCCGCCCTGTGCAGAGATGGCAGAGATGGCTGACAGAAGTTCCCTTGGACAGCCTCTGCGAGAGACCAGAATTCACGTGTTCCCGAAGGGAGGCGTACTAGTTTGTCGATAATTCTGCCGATGTGCTCTGACTTTGCCTTGGCAATGACACTTTTGAAGGACATGGAGGCGGAATTATACTTCTTCTTAAGAGCGCTGGTATTTACATCCCGGGATGTTGATGCGTCGGCCCAGGTTTGGTAGCACTCCTGCTTATAGCGTGATGCAATTTTACAGGAGTGACCAAACCATGGCTGATTTCTGCCTCCGATAGTCACCACAGATGATGGAATAAATAATTCCATTCCCTGAAGTACCACATCAGCGACAGAATTAGCAACAACGTTGGGATAGTACGGCGTGAAGTAAACCCGCCACCAAGGGTAGGATGCAAAAAAAGACCGCATCCCGTCCCAATCGGCCGACCTATAGTGCCAAACACGGCGGCAAGCTGCAGATCGCAATTGCGATTGGAGCGTGAGTGGCACCGTACTCCGGATCAGACAATGGTCCGAAGAGCCCAGAGGAGCATCGACGGAGACCTGATATCCGTCCGGATGAGAGGTCAGCAGAAGGTCCAACAGGGAAGGTACATGATCCTCCACATCTGGGATCCGCGTAGGCGAAGTAACCAGTACATAAATAAATTAAAAAAAATTATTATAGATTTCAAAAGAAGAAAAATACTAATTTAGAAGAAAGAAAGATCTTTCCCCTCAAAGGCGTTCTATTATGTAAAGTCATTTTAACATCACACTTTTTTTTTAATTTTTTTTTACCACGGATCACGTTTATCCATTATCAATAATAACTGATAATAACAATTTAATATCTGCGTTATAAACGAACAAGATTAAATCAATTACTTAAGACAGATAAACGAAAATCTGATTTATATGATTTTTGTTTTTTTTTTTCATTACTTTAGGCAAATTTGCATTTTATAGTATAAGAGGGACAAACGAGCACACAGTCCATCTGATGGTAATTGGATGCTATGGCCCATAGACATCTATATCTATCCTCGATTTAGAATAAATACGCAGACTACGTGCTCGGTGGTTAAGGAAAACACCGAGAGGAAACCTACTTGTAATTTATCTTAAATAAAAAATAAAAATACCTAAAATACTATCTTGTGGTGCCCAATCTAATATATGTACGTTCTGTGGTAGGCCAGCTAGCTGTTCTTCAAGTTTCCACAGCACGGTTTGCTCCAATTGTCCAAAAAACTCGATTAGTTCGCGTTTCATGTGTTCAGGCAAATCTCTGCCCTGTAAAATGGATCCCAGGCTGAAATAGATCACTCCTTTCTTGGAATCGTCAAGTAACTTTTTCATGTCCTGAAAACAATTTATGTTTTAATCGTCGTTTACAACAAATGTAGCCATTTTCAGCGCACAGCTGGACAAATACCCTTTCGATAATGTTAAAAATGGTCGGTATTTTGTTATAAAATGGTAGTGACAGACGAGCTTACAGTCTACCTGATGGTAAGTGGCTACTGCCGACAGTGGACACCTGCGACCAACTTTAAGTAAAGAAAGCAACAGATGCTTTGTAACCTGTGAGAACTATGATGGGATCTCTCACAGCCTGTAGTTATACTGGCTCACTATAGTATATCTCATAAGCTTCAGATTGGAACACAACTGTACAAGCATTGCTATTTGGCAACAGAAGTAGATAAGAGTGTGGTAGAGACCAGACGCACTCCCAGCCAGAAAAGTAGTGCTACCACCTAGAATTTCGTTCTATTTCTATTTAATACTAACTATTCCCCTCGACTTCGTCCGCGTCGAATTAATTACGGATAGGATGTCAGGGGTTTTAATTGTTTGTGCGAAACTCTAATTATTTAAAATTAGTCTGAGTTACTTTTTATAACATCAGTTATCTGCCAGTGAAAGTCCCGTCAAAATCGGTCCTGCCATTTCAGAGATCCACCAGAACCAACAAACATACAGACAAACAAAAATTTTAAAAATTGTAATTTTGTTATAAGTGCCGTATATACTTTCATATGCATTTAGTAAAAATCTGTTATTATGATATTACAAAAAGACACATCAGTTTCATTTATTTGAATAAAAGCGAATAAAGGTTTATTTTTGAATTGAAAATTTCATAAGCCGTCATTTGAAACTAAATGAAACGAAAAAACGACACTAAAAAGAGACAAACATAACTATAGGATGCGAGAGAATTAGACGGATTACAATAAACAGTGTTTTCCATTCTTTCTATCTCCTTAAGTTTTGACTTCTAACGCGCGTGAACACTAGCACACTTATTTTTTATTGAAGTTTTAATAATTGGAATCTTAAAGTTAGTAAAAATTAATTTGCGTACATCCGATAGTAGTTAGTAAAAATTTTTAATTTAATGGATTTTCGCGAAGTAAGGTATGGTTCTATTAATTAATTGAAATCTCCCTTATAGTACACGAAAATCTAACGTCATTGACATTATTATTTATCACAATTGACAAATGCGACCACCTGCATGTATGAAAATAAAGTATATTTTAGGCATCTCACTCTTGTTCAGTACATTTTGTCTTTTTAAGAGAGAGTTTTTGTCTTTTTAAGAGAGATGCCGTGTAGTGGCGGTCAAGAATATCCACTACCCCATATCCTCCCGTGGGTGTCGTAAAAGGCGACAAAGGGAAACAGGCACGAGATGGGCAGCAGCATCTTCTTGATAACAACGAACTAACAATAAAAAAAACTGCGGTTGCCAACCCGCTCGCCAAGCGTGGCAACTATGGCAAATACCCCCCCCCTATGAATGACAGTAACAAAGAAACGGCCCCAGTCCCCGGCGGCCCCACTATTCCTGGCTACGGTGGCGACCATGGTAAGGGCGGGGCAGGGGGTGCTAAGATTCTCCGGTGGAGGTTCAGTTGCCACCTTAGACGACTTGACCTGGCAACGTACAACGCACGCACCCTGAGGACTGACGAGAAGATCGTGGAGCTGGAAGAAGAGATAGACAAGTTGCGCTGGCATATTATAGGATTATCCGAATTCCGAAGAGAGGGGGAGGACACGGTAATCCTCGAATCCAGCAATTTGCTCTATCACCGGGAGGGCGACCATCTGTCCCAAGGAGGTGTCGGATTCCCGAACGAGAGACTTGTGGACGATATCCACAAGTCTCTCGTTAACAACGTTGTAAAGATCGGGAGTGTGCCGACGAGGGTTGCGTACCTTATACTCAGAATTTCCAAACGGTATTCGCTGAAGGTCATACAGGTTTACGCACCAACCTCGGCACACCCCGATGAGGAGGTGGAGGAAATGTATGAGGATATCTCTAGAGCCATGCATTCCTCCAAAACCCAATATACGGTGTTAATGGGAGACTTAATGCAAAACTAGGCACAAGAGAGAACGGTGAGCTGAAAGTAGGGAAATTTGAAATAGGGCAACGGAACCCAAGGGGCCAGCAGCTGGCCGACTTCATGGAGAAAGAGGGACTCTTTATGATGAACTCTTTCTTTCAGAAGCGGCCGCACAGGAAGTGGACCTGGTAGAGCCCCGACGGTTCGACAAAAAATGAGATTGACTTCATTATGACGAATAGACGACAACTGTTCAGTGATGTCTCAGTGATCGCGAGGGTGAAAACTGGCAGCGATCACCGAATGGTTAGAGGCACACTGAACCTAAACGTTAAGTTGGAGAGGTCTCGTCTAATGAAGTCAACGCTCCGTCCCCCTCGTGCTCTAATCCAAACTCCCGAAACCTTTCAGCTCGAGTTACAAAACCGTTTTCAGTGCCTAGAAGACTGCAATGAAGTGGATGATATGAATGACAAGCTCGTGGAAACTGTCCATGCGGTCGGAGCAAAGTTCTGCAAGACCCGCCGCAGAAGAACACAAAAACTCTCCGATCACACTCTTAATCTCATGGCTGTTAGACGGGAGATGAAGCTACATTCTTCAACAGACTTGACAGCATACAGGCATCTGAACAGACAGATCTCCAAATGCATGCGGCGGGACTTACGCAACTTCAAGACAGCTCGTATTAAAGAAGCGATCGAGCGGAACCAAGGCTCCAAAGTCTTTGCCAGAGATCTGTCTGCCAGAAAGAGCCAACTGTCAAAGCTGAAGACAGAATGTGGCAGCATCGTTTCCGGGACACCTGAGATTTTGAGTGAGATTGAGAGGTTCTATGCGCAGTTGTACACGTCATCGTTGGAGCCACACGCAAGTGTGAGTAGCGATCCAAGAGCGAGTCTCATCCGACACTATTCCGAAGATATCACGGACGTCAGTCTGAGTGAGATTAGAATGGCTCTCCAGCACCTTAAAAACGGTAAGGCCCCAGGCGAGGATGGAATTACAGCGGAGCTTCTGAAAGCGGGTGGAAAACCGGTACTTGAAGTCCTTCAGAAGCTCTTTAATTCCGTCCTCCATGGTGGCATTACACCGGAGGCGTAGAGCAGAAGTGCGGTGGTCTTGTTCTTCAAGAAAGGTGACAACGCTCTCTTGAAGAACTACAGACCGATTTCCCTTCTGAGCTGCGTCTACGTGCTGTTTTCGAGAGTCATTACGAATCGTCTCGCGCGCAGACTTGACGACTTCCAGCCTCCCGAACAAGCCGGTTTTCGAAAGGGCTTTAGCACCATAGACCACATACATACCCTTCGGCAAATTGTACAGAAGTCCGAAGGGTACAATTTGCCACTATGTCTGGCGTATGTGGACTATGAGAAAGCCTTTGATTCCGTTTGATTTGGGCGGTGCTGCAGTCCCTTCAGCGGTGCCAAGTTGACTGTCGGTATATCGAAGTGTTGAAGTGCTTGTACAGTAGGGCTACGATGGCTATCCGAGTACAGAACCAGAGTACGAAACCTATCCAATTGCAGAGAGGTGTAAGACAGGGTGACGTAATAACCCCGAAACTCTTCACCGCTGCATTGGAAGACGTTTTCAAGCTTCTGGACTGGAAAGGATACGGTATCAACATCAATGGCGAGTACATCACTCACCTTCGATTTGCCGACGATATAGTCCTTATGGCAGAATCGCTGGAGGACCTAAGCACTATGCTCAATGACCTCAATAGTGTTTCCCAACGGATAGGTCTTAAGATGAACATAGACAAAACTAAGATCATGTTTAATGTCCATGTCACACCTATGCCGGTAGTTGTTGGGAACACTAAGCTCGAAGTTGTTGACGAGTATGTTTACCTGGGACAAATAGTCCGACTAGGTAAGTCCAACTTCGACCGAGAGGTCAATCGACGGATTCAACTCGGTTGGGCAGCGTTCGGGAAATTACGGCACATCTTCTCGTCAGGTATACCTCAAAACTTGAAAACGAGACTGTACACCCAGTGCGTGTTGCCAGTGATGACATACGGAACTGAGACGTGGTCCTTCACTGCTGGCCGGATGAGGAAGCTCAAGGTCGCTCAGCGAGCTATGGAGAGGGCTATGCTCGGAGTTTCTCTACGTGATAAACTTAGGAATGAGGATATCCACAGTAGAACCAGAGTAACCGACATAGCCCAACGGATTAGTAAGCTGAAGTGGCAATGGGCCGGCCATATAGCTCGAAGAACCGACAACCGATGGGGAAGAAAGGTTCTCGAGTGGCAGCCTCGTACCGGTAGGCGAAGTGTAGGGCGTCCCCCCACGAGATGGAGTAACGACCTGGTAAGACATGCAGGAAGTCGATGGATGTAGGTGGCTCAGGACCGTGCTTTGTGGCATTCTTTGGGGGAGGCCTATGTTCAGCAGTGCACTTGTGAAGGGCTGTAATGATGAAGAGAGAGTCACGCAATAGAACCATTATAGGATAGATGGTCATAGACCAGGAATAAACACAAGCAACTGGTACCAGTTTCTTGACTCTACAAAGTTAGTAGTTGCCATGGGGCAATTAACACGATATTATAAAAAAATCCCAAAAAATATTATACAGTCTGTCTATTACCAAGTTTAAATATTTTATTAAACAAAAATTGTACAAAAAGGGTTATTACAGAGCCAATCAGCGCGTGCGAACGATATGCACGGGCCAATCAGCGCGACTTATGTATGCGCAATAAGCCAATCAGCTTATGCACAATAGCGGTCACCGTTATTTTTTTTATAGGATAAGGGTGACAAACGAGCACACAGTCTACCTGATGGTAAGTGGTTGCTGCGGCCCATAGACATCTACATCTATCCTCTATTACAAATCAAAATGTAGATGCGTTGTCACCCGTGAGGACTAAGATGGAATGCCTCATTTCCAGTAAAAAGGGCCTCCGGCCACCTGCACTCACCAAGCGAAACGCAGAAGTAAACCTCTACTTCACGCTGGTTTTCGGTGAGGTCGTGGTACCATCCCGGTTCGAGCCGGCCCAACCGTGCGACAGCAAAAGCTGCCGTGTGGCTCTACCACTGTTAGATTTTCGTGCCGCTACCTATGTACTTATAAATGAACACGTGGTTAATAAATAACCTCTGGAAATGAGGTGGTCGCTTCCAAGTTGTTTCTTACATAAGTTTTGTAAGTAGTGTGTACAACCTGTGTTTTATTGCATAATTTTACTTTGAAAAAAAAAATCCCGATTGGTTTCCTGCTGGTTCTTCACAGGACAGAGGCTTTTTCGAACCAGCGGTAAAAGTAAAAAAGACTTTCAATGAGAATTACTTGTAATATTATTGAATAAAAATTATTCTATTCTATTCTATTCTAAAGTAACGTTTAAAATGACGATATTGATTTTATTTTAAATTGTATTTACCTTTGGTAGTGGTTTCCGAGTCAAACCTATATGGTGACCTCCGATATACTTAGCGTTGCGAGGCAATGGAATATTCTGGCCGAGAGGTGGGTGGGAATTAATAAGAAGAAAGGACGCATTGTATACGAGCGACTCGTACTCCGGTAGAGTTTTCCCACGCAGCTGCAGCGGGTCTGCGTATATCTCTCGGTATGCGGGTAGTTCTACATAGTTTGTGAAATAGCTAAAACAAAAGTTAAATATAGTTGCAAACGTTATTAAAAATAGTCTGGTACGACTTTCCATTGATGTCTGTCGAGATTGGTGTTGATACGTATTTTTACAGAAAGATTACATTTTTATAAGCACACACACAATGTTTCAATATGCGGAAACACTTACTTTTTAAGAAAAAAATATTGAAATCAAATATTTTTGCAATATTTATGTCAATTCCTACCGTGAAACTGACGCCATTTTTTATTATTATTGTCAGTAGGGATGTCGATTCTTTCCGAAAAAGATCGATTTTTTAAATATATTCGAATTGTAAGCTGATGTATCGATTCCCGGAAAATCGATTTCTAAAATATCTATATTTTTTTCATGTTTGCATTTATAACGTAAATATAAATCCATTTTATGAGAAAAAATTCCTTTCATCATAAAAAATAAGGGGACTGATTCAGAAGAATTTCTGTATCTATTTTGAGACTGCTACGTCTCCGGCGCTGTGGGAAGAGCAGCCTCTACGCCTTAGCGTAACAAATTGCAGGCATCCCTCCTTCGGCCTTCGGCGACCAGCCTCAGCCGCTCCGGCTCGTCCGATGCCTATGATTTGTTACAGCAGGCGGAGGATGCTCCCCCTACGCGCCTCCGGCTCTATAAAACCACTCTAGGGGTAGGACAGACTCTTACCAGGTGGAGTCGGGGTCAATCAATTCGGTTCTTTGACATAAGCTGAACCTAACCTATTTTATTTGTTATCTGCATCACGCTCTCACAGAAAACCAGCGTAAAATAGCAGCTTAACGCTGCTGTGTTTCGTATGGTGAGTGTAGAGAACCGGAGACCCTTTTTACTGGCAAAGAGGCATTCCATCTTAGTCCTCACGGGTGACAACGCATCTGCATCTTGAGTCTTTATTGAGGATAGATGTAGATGTCTATGGGTCACAGTAACTACTTACCATCAGGTGGACTGTGTGCTCCTTTGTCACCCGATCCTATAAAAAAAAAACATTAAAAAAATATAGATATTTTAGAAATCGATATTTTGTGAACCGATACATCAGCATACGATTTGAATGGATTTAAAAATCGACCTTTTTCGGAAAGAATCGACATCCCTACTGACGTCGACAATGACATTACAAAATGGCGCCAGTTTTACGGTAGGATTAGACATAAACATTGCTAGAATAATTGATTTTCAACAACTTTCTTCTCAAAAATTACGCGTTTCCGCATGTTGAAACTTGTGTGTGTGCTTATAATAGTGTAACTTTTTTGTAAAAGTACGTATCAACACCCAACTCGACGGAACACAATGGAAAGCTAAGCCAATACTTTCTCTAGTATGGCCCCTTTGTGAAGTGAGGCCATTGCTGCCTTTCAAATGTATAATTTGGCATATTGTGGAGCATCCGCGCTACGACCATTACTTTAGTGTGGAGTGTCTAATCGCTAGGCGGAGATGCATGAAATTCGCACATAAGTTATTTCGCGCTACTGTAGTTGCTGCTGTTCTTATTAAGAGGACTGCTCCGAGGAATAGTTGTTGATTTATTCCAACTGCCAAAAATCACTGCGCCAAGATTGTGTTGGTAGTACATAGTGTTGTGCACTGTTGTGCCGCAGTGCGCAACACTACGAGTATGTACTACCAATACAATCTTAATTGTTGGTAATCCACCACCATGCGTGAGAATTTCACACGACCAGTTCACATTCATGTCGCCAGCGGTTTTCACGGACGTATACAACTGAGGTACTTTCAGGAAAGAGCCTACTACATTCTCAAAGGCAAGCGATGTGCCTGCAATGAGAAATATGGCTCTATCGTTATTAAATTACCAGTGCGTATTGACAGTGTTGACACATATATATAAAAGCGCTGTGTAGTATTGCATGGGGTGGGGAGCTACATTCAGCAGTAGATTTGTGATAGGGTGTAATGATGATGATGATTAGTATTATTAAAATAGCGACCTGCCCCGGCTGCGCCTGATTTTCAATTTAAGATAATCAGAGACCACAGATTTTTAAATTTTTTGTTTAAAAAAATAGCCTAGATCTCTTCTGACATTGCTCTCTAATATGTTCGTGAAGTTTTATTACAGTTAGTTCAGCTCATCCGAAGATTAGCCCGGACTGGTAGACAAACTAATATTTAAATAATTTAAAATTTAAAATTTTGTTCAACCGACTTCAATATAAATTATTAAGAATAATTCAAAACTATTAGTCAGACCTTGACCAAATTTGGGACCACATGAGAGCACCAGCTTTCAAATAAATAAATAATCATCTAAATTGGTTCACTCAGAAAAAAATTATTAATAAATAATAAACGAAAATACAGTAGAATTGAGTACCTCCTCCTTTTTGAATTCTGTAGAAAATAGTTATTTATGTCTTTACACCATTCAATTAACCCCCTGAGCTAAATAGAAGCCAGTTAGGCAACCCGCGCACTAGGCAGCCTGGCTGCGGCAGCGAGGCTGCGGCAGCTAGTCAAACATATGACGGTGTATGGGAGCCCGCGCACCTAAGCGGCCACGAACTCCCGGCTGCGCAGCCACAAAAGCGCGTCCGATTGCACGGCAGCCCGTTGGCTGCGCGCAGCCAGAGCGAGCAGGGCAAATGTATGTGGCTGCCATCAGTCACCGCGCACTTGTGGTAGCAGCCAGGCGTATTTTGTGTTCAGAAACCACAAAATGGCTTTTGACACTGAGAAATTTACAGTGCCCTTGCTTGAATTTCTTATATTTTCCAAAAGGTTATCAAATGATGCACTGACATTCTCGTGTAGTTAAAAAACCGGTATTGGTATTTACGAACATCTTTAAAATAGGTATGAAATAAGCCTTTTGAGTGGAGTTCTAGAAAAAAAAGGATGAATCGAATGTCTTTTAGCTTGGCGTTTTTTACGAAATACGCACAAAATTACAAGTTCTTCCACGTCGATATCCCTCGAAGAAAGGGTCACAACTCGCCGTCCATTGGCTGCTTAGAAGTGGCTGCTCAAATATTTCGGCCGCCGCAGCCTGGCTTCGCAGCCAGGCTGCCTAGTGCGCGGCGGACCTTATTTCAATATTACAAACAAACAAATTCATAAGTACTAACGATTTAAACATTTCAAATTTATTTAATTTACAAATATTTAATATTACAGAAACTTCAATGTTATTTATATGTTAGATTACTATAAAATTAAATAACATTTATGGTACTACCCCTCCGCCTGCAACTGATGGGCCCTGCGAAAAAATTGTATAGGCAACTCCCTTCGACAAAAATTCTAAATCATAAAAAGAATATTTGCAAGTTCGGCAGTTTTTTTACGTATTATAATCCAGTGCCTCACCACAATCCCACCTGGTGGTAAGTAGTGATGAAGCCCTAGATGGTAAATCGTATTGTCTTTGCCTAACAAAAGTCTATGGTCCATTCGCTCTTGAATTGAAGACGCTCACAACGCTTGAACATAGTTGATTGCTATTCCGGTCGCATTTCATATTATTCGCCCTACACACCAATTTTGATGTACAGGATCGGAAAAGTAATAAAAAACGTATTAGTTTTTCGGTCGTTGTATTCGGTTGGTTCTCCAACCTTGAAAGTAGGTATATTTACGTTGGCGAAATAAGACTTGTAAATTGAGCTGGGAGATATTAAATTGCCTCTTACCTCTAATCTTTAATAACAAAAAATGGAGTGACAAACGAACTTACTGTCGACGACGAATCGTTCGAATTTACTGCAGACCCTGAACATCTGCAGTACATTCGAACAAAGAATTCTAAAACAAGATTGAATGTCTCACAGCCTCTAATTCTACTGCTCTCTTTATCCTTAAGACTGGAACAGAGCAGTGCACGCACTGTTATTTGGCAGAAATAGGTGAGATGGCGATGCTTACCCAGATGGAACTCAAGGCAGGAGTCCTGCCACCTTGTAAAAAAGTGGTGGGTTATCTTAAGTAGATTTCAAGGATAAATTTCATTACCAAACCATTCACAGCGAAACTAGTTATTTATTAAAAATAGGCAGGGTTAAGTGCCGTACAATTATATACGCCCAAGTAATTGTTTTAAAATACATTAATTAATATAAAACATATTAGGTGCTTGCGGTGGCGGTGTAAGAATATAGTAGATACCATCGTCCCTTGGGTATCTTAAGAGACGACAGAAGGGGACAAATCAGGAGATTGGCAGCAGGGTCTTCCTAATAATGACTTAAAATAAACAACTGCCGTGGTCAACCCGCTTACCAAGCGTGGCAACTATGGCAAATATCCCCTTTATTAGGTAGGCAATGTATGAAGGAGGCCTATGTTCAGCAGTGGACTTTAAGGGCTGTAACGGAGGAGTTTATAAGTATTTTGTTAAACGTGTGTAAAAATATCTTCCACCACATATAGTCATATGGACGTAAGAAAGAAACAAACCAGGAAATAGACAGCATCATCTTCCTAAAAACAACTAGAAAATAAAACCTGCTGTTTCAAACTCACCTGCAACTCACAGGCAAATATCCCCTTTGAGGCAATCTGTGGGGAATCTTCTGTTCAGAAGACTAGACTTTGAATTAATAGATACTTGATGAGTAAGTACCCTTACCCAACGAGCATGTAAGATGTACGTAGATATATATAGACGTGAAAGCAGCGAGGGATGTGTATGAGGATCGAGCCAAATGGAATTCAGTAGTCTCTATTTAGCGTGATAACATATATATTCCCTGCTTACCCCTCTGAGTGACAGGTGTGACAATTTATGTTTTTATGTATACCAGGTGGTTCCCATGTAGTATAATTTTTCTTTGAAACGTGCAAGATATTTGCGTTCACTAGCAAAAACGAGACAAACGACCATTTAAAACAGAAAAATCGGAAACTTTGACCTCAAATAGTTGAGAAATGATGTTGTAAAGATTTTCAAATATCAAGGCCATTACAACAAATAAAAATTGGAATTTAACTCAATATATTATACTATCATATTCAATGTATAATAATCTACGCAGGACAGGCTTATAGTGCCCGAGTGGGACGGTGATCAGACACGATACGGAAAGAGATCAGGCACAGGACCAACAGCTTTACGTACTTACCGACGCACGGAGATGAAACACCGCCTACTTGCAGGCTCCGGGCTGCTACAAAGATTTTTTTGACAAAAAACTTAATAACTAATTTTTGTTTAAATAACTGCCCAGGATTCGAACCTAGGACCACATAATCATCAGTCGCGTTACGCCCACTAGAACAACGAGTCAGACAATTGTATAGTATCAGTGTGATTATAAGAAATCATTATACTCACTATATCCAAGCGCTAAGATAGACTTGCAGTATCAGTTGGTGAGCCTTGTCACCGATCGTGAACGGTAATGCGGGTACCCTCAGCGATTGGGCGTCGACACTGTACGCTGGACTACTGGCTTCATGCACCATGCGCAACGACTGCCAGGATACATCACTGGAGGCGTACCAGATTAAAGGACATCCGTACACTGCCGCCAACCTGGTATTTTATTAATTTATACGTTAATATTTTTTTATTAAAAAATTGTAAAAAAATGAGCAGACAGTCCACCTGATGATAAGTGAATTCTGTAGCCCATACTCATCTACATCTATCCTCGATTAAGAATAAAAATGTAGATGCGTCGTCACCTCTCAGGACTAAACAGAATTCCTTGTTTCCAGTTAAAGGGTCTCCGATTCTCTACACTCACCATACGAAACATAACAACATGAAACTGTTATATTTTGTGACAGCGTGGTCCTACCCCGGGCGAGCTGATCCATTCGTGCTACAAACATAACTGCATCGTAGCGTATGTCAATCCAGAAAGTAGTACATATGGCGGACTTAGTGCCATAGGGCATTCTTTCCGAGTTAACTATTGGGCTAAACAGAGATAGACATATAAGAAGCGGTGCAACAAAGAACAAAAAACACAGAATGATAAAAGATGAAATTATGTACATATACAGGGTTATTTTTTAAAGAGTAGCCAAATTTTAAATATTGGTAATGCAGTTTTTGCAGATACGAGTAGATATATAAGGCTTCTACTTTTATTTGAAATTGTCACAAATTGAAAGTGATGAGTACGAGGCTGCCACTCAAGAACCCTTTTCTTGTCGATTTTTCGAGCTATATGGCCGACCCATTGCCACTTCAGCCGTTGCAATTCGTTGGGCTATGTCAGTCACTCTGGTTCTACTGCGAATATCCTCATTTCTAAGTTTATCACGCCGAGAAACCCCGAGCATAGCCCTCTCCATAGCTCGCTGGGCGAACTTGAGCGTCCTCATACGACCAGCAGTGTAGGACCAAGTTTCAGATACATAGGTCATCACTGGCAACACGCACTGGTTGTACTACTGTCTCGTTTTGAATTTTTGAGGTATACCTGACGAGAAGATGTATCGTAATTTTCCGAACGCTGCCCAGCCGAGTTGAATCCGTCGATTGACCTCTCGATCGAAGTTTGACTTACTAGTCGGACTATTTATCCTAGGTAAACATACTTGTCAACAACTTAGAGCTTAGTGCTCCCAACAACTACCCGCATAGGTGTGACATGGCCGTTATAGGTACATAATCTTTGTTTTGTCCATGTTCATCTTAAGATTGGTTCGTTGGGAGGCACTATTGAGGTCATTGAGCATAGTGCTTAGGTCCTCTAGCGATTCTGCCATAAGGACTATATCATCGGCAAATCGAAGGTGAGTGATGTACTCGCCATTGATGTTAATATCGTATCTTTTCCAGTCCAGTAGTTTGAAAACGTCTTCCAATGCAGCGGTGAAGAGTTTCGGGGATATAACGTCACCCTGTCTTACACCTCTCTGCAGTTGAATAAGTTTTGTACTCTGGTTCTGTACTCGGATAGCCATCGTAACCCTACTGTGCAATCAGTTCAGTCAAATTGGCACCACTGAAGGGACTGCAGCACCCCCCCCCCCCAATTTCGACGGAATCTCACAGTCCGCATACGCAAGACATAGTGGCAAATTATCTCGGTCTTCTGTACAATTTGCCGAAGGGTATGTATGTGGTCTATGGTGCTAAAGCTTCTTCGGAAACCGGCTTGGAGGCTGGAAGTCGTCGAGTCTTGCGTGCGAGACAATTCGTTATACCGATTTACCCTTGAAAATGTGTGCGTGAATTAAGTTAACAACAACGACTTTACTAAAAAATATAATTTATTTATATAAAGTAACAGCGTTACAACTTATAATTACTTCCAAAACCAATATCAATCTAACAATCAATTATTCTAGTATTTATATAAATTTACATCTTACTAAGCGATCCGTACGGTGACGCACGGCCTACTTATTAGGAGTGCTTGTAAAGCAGATATTAGAGGGATCATCACTCTTAACCTCTCCCTCCCCAAGAGAAAAATTATTCGAAGGAAACGGAGTTGACTTCGGATAATTTTGTCTCTGACGTAAACTATTAAATTTCCATTTAAATACAATAAAAAATATAATTAACAGTATTACAACATAAAGACTTAAAGTCCATATACTTATTTTACTAGTTACTAAAGTTTCTACCACCATTTCACTATTTCTAGCACTACTCATGATTTCTTTAACGTCACTAAAGTCCACGTTTGTTAAATCCAACCTTTTTTTTCTTTCGGCATGTCGTACTGCACCTCCGGAATTTTCACAAGTGGTATCTGCAGACTGGCATCTGACATATTGCTCGATAGGCCAATTATTATTTTTCCTATCTGTATGCTGCAACCTTTGCTCGGCGTCAAGATGTATGTCCCCTGTAGATTAATTCTGTGGGTATCATCTTTGCACTGCTCCGTCAGTATAACATTGTCTTCTGCATATAGTATCCAGTGGTCAAAAGTTATTTTCTGTATTTTCAGCTTTTCTATTTTTATTTCATGTTGCTGGCAATGACTGAAGTTGTTTTTAATCAGCATTATTTCCTCAATGCATGTTTCTTCCTCAACTGGTGCTATATTTTCCTCCGAACATAAGTGTTTGTTCGACTCTATCTGGGTACACGGATTTACTCCGTTTCTGTATTTCAAACCATTCACTAATAGGTAGGGATATTTTGGAATTATAGTATAGGTGCTGGTTAATTTTTTTATAGGAATGGGAATTATCTTGTAATAGTTATACGTTTCTTTTTCTATTAATGGTATTTCTAAAATAAAAACTAGTTTATCTTTATCTATATAACATTTTAGGATAATGTTACGTTCTAATTTTAATAAGTTATTTCTTGTTACTGGGTAAATAGTATGTGCAATTTGTTCTATAGTTTTAAAAACGTTTAGTAATTCTGTAGAATTAATGATAGATTGATGTAGGGTGCGTAATTTACTGAATGCTATGGCTGTTTCAATTTCCTGGATATTTTCATAAATGTAACGAAAGTTATTAAGAATTTGATAAAGGCTATTCATTGTACGAATGACATTGTCAGTTTTTGACTCTAGTTTGTCAACTTGTTTAAACTTAAAGTGCAAGTTTTCAACGTTACTATTGATAACCTCAGATACATTGGTTAACGCGTTAAACGCTTTTTGCATTGACGATACTTTACGTTCTGCTAAGTTTTCTTTAACTCTCAAATTTGCGATTTCTTCGTTGAATTTGATGGCACCTTCTTCATCTAAATTACCTGATATAATTTTTATTATGGACCCCAAAGGACTCATAATGGCTCTTTTTCTTTTATGGATAGGACTTATTTGATCGTATTTGTCCTGAACTAATTTAACTAACCAGTCTATTTGTTTTTGTATAACTAATAGTTCGTTTTCTAGGCTATTTTCTGATATAATTGTATTAATTTTGTTGTATATGTTTATATTATTATTAATTTGTATTTCTAATGCGTTTATCTCTACTGTTTTGTAAACTGTCCAATAACTACTCCTCATCACTGCTGTTCCATATTTCAGCGGGGTTATTCCCGGGTTCCGCTCCAGATTTTGAAGTTCCAGGCTGTGGATCTGGTTCACAAGTGCCAGAAGTACCAGCTACGACCTGTGGAGGACGTTTTATATTTTTAACAGCTACTCTAGTTTTTCTTTTATTTAACTCTACTGGAACAATGTTACGATTTGTTTCACCTATTACTTTTGCTTTTTCATAACGTGGTAATTCCTTAGCTTTCCTTGTCCGAGTTGTTTTCATAAATACTGTATCACCTTCTTTGATTTTTGGTATTTCTTCACCTCCTTTCTTGTCCCTAACTTTGACTTTATTGTCTTTTAGTTTTTCCCCAACATATTCGTAGAGTACTTTTAGACGTTTTCTGTGATCTTGCAATAGCTTTTGCATTAGATTGTGTTCCCTATTAATATCAAAAATATAACCGCTGTCAGTATTACCGAAAACTATTTCAAAAGGCGTGAATTCCGTTGCTGAATGGATGCTATTATTGTATGCCATTATAGCGTATGACATTACTGAACATGCATCAAGATCACTTTTATCATACTTTGCCAACCTATATATTTCGATTACTGTGGAGTGGAATCTTTCCACTATGGCCATTGAACTAGGATTATTTGGTGTGCTAATATGCAGTTCTATTTTGTACAGGTTTAAAAGTTCTTTAATTAGTTCATTATTAAATTCAGCTCCGGAATCGCTGTTTATTTTGCGTGGAATTCCGTACATACTGAAATATTTTATTAATGCTCTGACTACTTCTGGTGTACTTCTATTGGGAATGTTTATAGCCTGTCCAAGCTTACTGAAAGCATCAACCACAGTAAGGTAATACTGTTTTTCTATAAATAAAAGATCCATGAAGACTTCTTGGAATGGGCTGTATTGATTTTGTGTTAGTTGGATAAGAGGTTTTATGGGTTTTCTTTCGTATTTCATTTTTCGACACGGCTCGCATGAATTAATAATGACTGTTATAGTTTCTTTCATATTTGCCCACCAGTAGTGTCTTTTGATTTTTGCTAAGGTCTCGTTGATACCTCTATGACACGTTTTTCCTTCGTGGTACGCTACAACTACTCGTCTTTGGTCTTGTTCTGAATCGGTTAGATTAACTATTCTGTCTGTACATTCGATCAAATTATAAGTTCCTTTTTTGTATAATTCGATTACTACTCTACTAAAAGATTTCCCGAATTCCGCGTTTTCGAAATAGATATAATATTTATGTTTTAAATCAATATATTCTTTAAGAAACTGTTTGACAAGTCTCTCATTATTTAGAGGCATGTGAACTTCTAGTATATGTTGCTTCTTATTTGAAATATCTTTAACAGATATTTTATCAGTAAACCATGTGGAGACTAAAATTTGACGTGGTTTTGTGTCTATAGCTTCATTCAGGATAGGAATCCCTTCATGTTCACTGTTTGATATTGAGTTAGCTGTGACACCATCGTCTGATAATTCCATCAGTTCCATTGGTGGCTCAACTTCGATATCAGAAACAACTATGGATCTTTCACTTTCTGTGTCGTAATTTGACATAACTGATGGTGTTTTAGGTTTCTT